ACTTTGTATCTCTACTGTACCATGCTAAAAAACGGTTAAAACAACAAAAGGTCCTATCCATCTGGACCTTAACTTACCAGGAAATAACTTAAATCTAGAGTGATAAAGGAGAACTTTTTGACCTTTAGTGAAAGACTTACGTGAAAAACGAGAGTCATGGAACGCCTTGGTCATAGTGTCAGATAAAGACTCGATAACATCAACAAAGCATARAGATGAAACATCACTCGGATATCGCATGGCATCATATATTWTAAATTTAATCATCTCGCCATCGAATTCCATGGTCAAACTACCACTATGGACGTCTACCTTAGTCTTAGAGGTTTTCAAAAATGGTCTACCTAGCAAAAGCATACCGACGTTGGAGGCATTTTTCTCCTCCATATCTATAACATAAAAATCTGCCGGAAAGACCAATTCATTCACTTGAACTAGCACATCCTCTAATACCCCTTTAGGGTAGATAATAGACCTATCCGCTAATTGGATTACCACACCGGTTGGCTTAAGGGGCCCTACATCCAAAGATGAGTAGATGGCATACGGCATAACATTAATTGATGCTCCTAAGTCTAACATGGCTTGATTTACCGAGACATTGCCTACCTTACATGGTATGGTAAACATGCCCGGGTTTTTACATTTAGGTGGTAACTGTTTTTGCAAAACAGCGGACACATTTTGACTCATGCTTATCTTTTCATTACCCTTTAGTTTCCTTTTATTAGTACAAAGTTCTTTCAAAAACTTAGCATATCTAGGAACTTGCTTAATTGCATCTAATAAAGGGATGTTTACCTGAACTTTTCAGAATGTGTCAAGGATCTCCTTCTCTTCACTCTCCCGCTTTGTCTTCTCGAACCGGCTCGGGAATGGCGGTGCTTGAACTATCACTTCGGGTGTCTTCTTCTTTAACTCCTCTTCTTTCTCCTCGTGAACCTTTTCCTCCTTCTTTTTTTCAACCTCTTGAAGCTCCTTTCCGCTTCTCAAAGTGACAGCACTCACATTTGCCTTCGGATTCGTCTCTGTTTGAGATGGCAATTTACCCTTGTTCACTAATTGTCCAACAGTGGCCTGAAGGTCCTGAATGCTCGCTTGAGTTTCCTGTTGAAATTTCACCATGTTAGCAGCCATAGACTTAACTACATCCTCTAATGACATACCTGAGCCGCTAGGAGCTTGTGGTGATACTTGATGTTGATGTTGGGTACTCGGCTGAAATGGTGCCTTCGGTTGATGTTGCTGAAATCCGGGCGGTGATTGAAATTGTTGAGGTTGAAACTGTTGAGGCGGCTGGAATGAAGCTCTTTGCTGAAATTGCTGACCTTGTCCTTGTCCTTGCCTCGGGGCGTAGCTTAGATTTGGATGTTGCCTCCAACCGGGGTTGTATGTGCTCGAGAAAGGGTCGGGAGCCCGGTTGTTTGAGTTCTGAAAGTTGCCACCTCCAATGGCATTCACTTGCTCTTCTTCTTCATATAAAGTCGGGCATGCATCGGTGGGGTGCGCCACTGATGAGCAAAATCCGCATGCTTTGACTTGAGGCATATTACCCATGGCAAGCTGTTTCACAAGGTTAGTTAAATCAGTTATTTTAGTCTCTAAGGATTTAACATGTACCTCACTAACGCCCCGGCCAATGTCACTCCGTACTCCAAATTGCTTGGAATTTTCCGCCATGGTGTCTATCAAGGTCCTCGCTTGTGTTGGCGTCTTGTTCACTATAGCTCCTCCGCTCGCAGCATCCATCATCTTTCTTTCCATCGGGAGCAAACCTTCATAAAAATATTGAATTAGTAATTCATCAGAAATACCATGTTGAGGACAACTTACACAAAGGCGCTTGAAGTGCTCCCAATACTCGTATAAAGATTCGATGTCCTTCTGCTTGATCCCATAGATCTCTCTTCTAAGCCCGGCGGCTTTGGATGCGGGAAAATACTTGTCGAGGAATGCTCTCGCCATTTGCGTCCAAGTGGTGATGGATCCCGGTGGTAAATAGAAAAGCCACTCCCTAGCTGCGTCAACTAGGGAGAATGGGAATGCCTTCAGCTTGAGATTCTCCACCGTCGTGCCTTGTGGCTTCATCCCCAAGCATACCATGTGGAACTCGGTCATATGCTTGTACGGGTCTTCGTTAGCTAATCCATGAAAATGAGGTAGTAAGTGTATTAAACCAGTTTTAAGTTCAGCACTTACCTCTTTCGGCGGATAAGTAATGCAAAGAGGTTGCTCGGCGACGTTGGGTGCTGCCCATTCCCTTAAAGTGCGTTCGGGATTCGCCATTTCCTCTTCAGTATCGATTACCGGTTCTTCTTGCTCAAAATAAGGCTTATCTTCTTCGTCCTCCGTTTGGTCTTCAGAATCGAATGACAACTCAATATCTTTCCAAATATTGAGAACCGGTGAAGAAGTAGACACACCTTGCTTCTTTCGAAGCTTAGCTTGTTTTCTTAGCTTCTTAGCGGTTTTCTCAATTTCCGGATCAATTGGCAATGGTGAACCTGCACGAAACGATCTTGGCATACACAGTTAAACTTTGCCGAGTCCCCGGCAGCGGCGCCAAAAATTTGACGGRTGTCGAGTCCGGCAAATAATAAAATTTWWKAAAATMAGCCTATTATCTCTAAAACACACTTGTAATAGCGATAAGTAGGGTCGTCTCCTCAGGGACTCGGTATTAACCGTAAGTCAAAGACGTAATCTCGTGCAAATTCATTAACAATAAAACTATATATAAAAA